CGCCCCCCTTCCCCCCAGTCTCTAGGTGCACTTTTGTCATTTGGTGAAAACACATATTATCCCCGCAGAACCGTGTGTACACAGACTCACATTTAAAGTATGCCTTCGCAAAGTCGGGGCAAAGACTGCGGGATACTTGCTGACAAGTAAATGCATCAAAAATTTGCAACATACCTTGGATAGTCTGTATTGCTTGTGGGCTGCCGAAATGCAAGAGCTGACCTTTTTCGTCTGAGTGATGGTTGCTTTTAACGACGCTCGAAATTCTTCTGGGGAACAGAGATCTGATCTAATACTGAACAGTGAAGTCCTTGTTTCTGCTGCATAACCTCCAAGCGTGAAAGTTAGCCCATTACCTACCATACCCCACAGTTTGACCGTCGTTCCCGACACTGTCCACGGTCTGCCCCGCATCAAGGCGGATGTGGGGATGGTTACTTGCGTGTGAATTAGTTTTTGATGATAGACGACTTGTGTTGCATCTACCACACTGTCTCCTTCCTCACCCACTGGAGCCCGGCGTCAAGACAGAGTCCGGACGACCGAAGGCAGGATCGGATCCAGTAGCTGGCAGCTAGTCTGCGCGTGCCATACACGTCTGATTCACACATGGTTGGCCAGACTTTCATGGAAATAACTAAGATGGGGAGAGGGGAGCGACTCGGATCTCGACAAACCGTGAGCGTCATAAAGGCCACATTAAGAAGGAGCTACTGTAACCTGACTCTCCGTCCTCCAAAGAGGTCCGACTTATCCCAGTCAGCTGACGGCGGCACCCTTCTAAGACGGGGTAGTTTGAAAGCGCGTCAGACTGCCTATAGGTGCTGAGTGTCGTGGAGAGGCCGTCCACAGAGTCGACCTCACTCTCTCTTTCCTCCTCCAGGCACCAGTCCGAGTCGGTCAGCCATTTGATGCGCAATTGGGCACAGGTGGCTGGCGCTCCATCCGCTCATGATGAATTGTGAAACTTCCATAGAAAAGTCGACAGAATTCTTAAAGAAATTACAAGGAATCACAATTTCCGCCGATGAGATAATGGTTTCCTTTGATGTCTTTTTCCCTTTTTGCGTCAATTCCGTTGGATTTCGCAAAGCAATGCACAGAGGACCTTCTGCTGTGCTACGACACTGATGTTCCCGCCGCCGCTGTGCTCGAACTGATTGGTTTATGTTTAGAAACTAACTTTTCGTTCCACCAGAAATGCTACAAGAAACTGAAGGGAGCCCATATGAGATCACCCATTTCTGGTTTTCTCGCTGAAATAACAATGCAGAAACTAGAGACTACGGCAGTCCCGTTATGTACTCCTAAATTGTGGCTGGAGAGTCCTTTGTTTCTTTGGTGAAAAAAAACAACTTCCTTATAGAACCGTCCGTACACACACTCACATTCAAAGTTTGCCTTCACAACGTAGGGACAGGGACAAATTATCCAGTATGTTAACTTTGGGATACTTGCTGACAGGTAAATGCATCAAAAATCTGTTACATACCCTAGATAGTCTGCATTGTGGGCTGGGGAAATCTAAAGCAGACCCTTTCCGTCTGAGTGATAGTTGTCTTTAACTAGGCTTGGAATTCTTCCGGGGAACAGAGATATGGTCCAAAGCTGGAGAGAGTGAGGTTCTCGTCTCTCCTGCGCAAGCCGTAGCATGCAATTTAGCCTATTAACTACCATACCCCACAGTTTGACCGCCCTTGTCGACACTGTCCACGTTCTGCCCTGCATCAAGACGGATGTGGGGATGGCGACTTGTGGGTGAATTAGTTTTTAGTGATAGACGACTTGTGTTGCATCTGCCGCACTGTCTCCTTCCTCACCCACCGGAGCCCGGTGTCAAGACGGAGTGCCGAAGACCAGAGGCAGGATCGACTCCAGCGACTGGCAGCTAGTCTGCGCGTGCCATACACGCCTGATTCGCACACGGTGGACTAAATGGGGAGGCGGGGGGGGGGGTGAGCGACTCGGATCTCGACAAACCGTAAGGGCCATAAAGGCCTCATTAAGAAGGAACCACTGCAGCCTCACTCTCCGTCCTCCAAAGAGGTCCGACTTACCCCGTCAGCTGAAGGCAGACTTCCAAACCACGGCTTCTAGCTGACCGTAGTGATGTCAAAGCGCGTCAGATTGCCTATATGTGCGGAGTGTCATTGAGACACTGTCCATGGAATCGACCTCACTCTCTGTCTTTCCTCCCCCAGTCCGAGTCGGTCAGCCATTTGATGCGAGAACAGGGCGCAGGTGGCTGACGCGCCCCTACCTCGCGTCTAGTCGTGCCACCACCCCTCCGTGTGTGTGGCATCTGTTATGGGTGCGTCTCCTGAATAAAACATGTCGTGCCCTTATCTGGCCCCCTTGGTTGTCTAGATTACCTCCCGCGTGGCCTGTTTTAGAGGCATTTACCATTATGCATTCATCCCCAGTCTGTCTTTATTGAATACGGACACTACGATTACGTGAGGAGGATAATAGGGGGGAGGGAACGAATTTTCACCTCTGCCATATGAAGTTTGTTTATCTGACACTTGGGGTCGACACCCGAAATCGAGAATTTTCCCAACTTTACTGTCTGCACAAACTCAGTTGGCTTAGTAGCCGACCCGTTCTCACTGAAAGTTGTGTGGCATGGTCCTCTGTGCTGACTGGTAGTCTGCCGTATGCGTATTTGAGTTGACGTCTGATTTTAATGTCCCCTGTCGATGGCGTGCTCTTTTGCAACAGCTTGCGACTGCCTGACATCTGTTATAGAATGTGAACATTTTTTGTCCACCTTCCACCGTCGACGGATCGATATCGCAAGGCCTACTGTTTTCTCCATGAAATCCCCTAATTGGGACCTGGTACGGGTAGAGAGGAGACCAGATCGTGTTGAGCACGCGTAGACGGGCCGTTTAGCTTTGTCGGCTACTTCGTCCACGCCTACCCCCGGTCGCCTCGAGTCTGCCCTACCATAGAGGGTGGATTGGTGCTTGAGCGTGACCAGTTGACGACAACACTAATTGGTACGAATAAGCAAAGGAGACGCCTCAGTTTCATTTGGCCAGCTATCCGTTCCCTGCGTCAACGCCCAGAATATCCATTATGAATACAACGGGAAAAGAGGTGCCTGTTTTATCTCAAAAGCCCGACGAGCTGACTAGGCCTAGTGACGGACAGATGACGGTAAGTAAAGCACAGACGGCCAATCCGGCCTCTACTGATGCCCCCTTAACCAATTCATGTATACATACTTCGAGACATTAGCATCTGATTGGATGGCGTCCCGCTTGGTGTCGCGAAGGGGCTGAGGAACTCGGCGGCTTAGCACTTTAGTTTATATGCCCCAACCCAATTCAGAGATTCCGCCACCGAAAACACGTCGGGAGGGAACCTACTGTAATTACCTACAGCAAAGGGCAGAACGATCTCAAAAAGTGGGTGATATCAACGCAAAGCGTCAGCCAAATTTCAATAGACTGAAGTTCACGTGGAAAGGACGGTACATCATTTACTGCTAACTGCACTCCTAATGGCCTGGGATCGATGGAGTGTCCTACCTTTGTTTACTTTAGTGTGTTGCATCCGCTGGCCTGACTATCATTCTCTCGACCTCACTCTGAACAAATAGCGAACGAGCTGGCTGTGATGTGTTCAGTAGCCACACCTGTATTTATCAGCTAATGTAGAGTCGCAAAGTGTGTTTCTGCACTTTCGTGTCGCCAGTGTGTCTGTCGTCACAGCCGCCTCCAAGACTCGCTTTTGGACCCCTGCTAGTGGTTGCCTGCTACTATCCGCACCACCGGAGATCAGTCAGATCGGCATGCTGCGACGGTTCCGATGGGTTTAAGCCGTGGCCGACGCAGACGTGTCTTTAGCCTTATCAGCCATTATGTCCGCGCCCAGCTCCGGTCATCTTAACACTGTCTTACAAACAGACCATGGTGGACGGAGGGGAGATGGCGCGGTAGATCCTGCGCAAGTCTGCCCCACCGGTGCTGAGCACTTTTGGGGGCACAAGGTGGACGTGGTCGCCTACGATGATCCAACTGTCTGTTTGTACACTCTGATGTTTGCACGCAAGCCGTAGAATGGTGGCACCATCTAGACCCTGTTCAGTTACACTGTGCAGCACTCTTTTTTCATCTATATTCCTCTCATTTTCACCTTCCCCCCCCCCCGCCTCCATAACAGCATTAAACTGGACACCGCGTCGCCTGACTTTCCGCTCCTGCCTCCGGTGAAACTGGACGCCGAGATATCCTGCACCACCGGTTCCGGTCTGGATCACCTTTGTCGCCTCATCGAATCCAACCTAATTTCTGTCTTCGGCTGGAGGCGGAAACGCATTCGTATGCGACAGGGTAGCCAAGCGCTTAAGTAAGTTACAGGAGCAAAAACCTGTGCTGCCGAGACGGTAATTTCTTTGAGGGCGGCCGTTGTTCGGTGGGAGGGGACTTGTAGGTATAGAGACAGCATTCTGCCGTCCATCCACGTCCACTAGTGTTGTAATCGCACATCTGCACTCTGTTTCTCCTCACTAAGACATAAACAGTTGTTATTACGCGAATTTTGCCAGCAACAGCCGTGATGATTGAATATGTAAGCCCGTGCCTTTATTACTATAACAACCCCACTTATTCGATTTAGGCAGGTACATAACACTATGGTTTATCCGTGTTAATGCAGCTAGGGTTAGACTCAGGATTCAGGGTTGGCGTTCGCATTTGGGGTCAGGATTTAGAGCTAAGGTTAAGGTTGGGTCAAAGATCGGAGTAGGGGGTTAGGTTTGCCTGACGCGTATTTGGTAAAACAAGTACATGGCAAAAATGAAAGCTTCCCCATTGCCTTCCACAGACTCTTAATTTCCGCGTCTATCTGCCCTACCGATAAAGCCAATATTTCCATCCTCGTATTACAGTAGTACCTATGCTCTATTTCCTCGGTGAGCCTACATATTAAATCCTTACGGCTACTGTAGACTTGCATATATTGCGATAAATTCGCAGCACCTGTGCATGCGTTCAGGATCCCCGACGGGTCATGCTGGCTTTTCCAAGAAGGGCAGTGAATATGTGCCAGTCTGTGTTAGCTTGACCATCATCATCATCATCATCATCATCATCATCATCATCATCATCATCATCATCATCATCATCATCATCATCATCATCATCATCATCATCATCATCATCATCATCATCATCATCATCATCATCATCATCATCATCCAGAAACCGCCGCGTGCGTGTCAGGGATGTACCTAGCGCATCATATCAATTATGTAGCAGCAGGTAACGTATTCCATGAAACACTACTTTAAATTCCGAATTACGATCTCTGTTAGAAGGGATTGCCTGGGTGGGTTTGTAATACTAATTGTCTTGCAGTATAATCTCAATCTACTACAGTCACGCTAGGATGCCGGCTTTTGGACGTGTCTTTCCGACCGCCTGTGAAAATCCCACTGAAATACTACTTAATAAATGTGACTTTTTCTACTAATTTCTGAAGCTCTTATAAATTTGGGCATACTTTTTAGGAACCATGTACAAAGTATCTCGTCCTATATTCATTATGCAGAAAATTATGTCCTCTTCAAGGTGTCTCCTCAAAGAAATGGTCTAGTTCTGTCTCGGGAAAGTGTTTTTCAATTCTTAAAGTAGTTTGAACCCTATCTGCCGTTCCACTCGTGTTTAGGGTTTCCAAACTACAAGCTATCCACTTTTTATTCAGAAATACCGAACATTTCTCTATGCCGTCGACGAGATACCAGGGACGCCTACGAAATTTCCCAACGGGCATGAACCTCACAAACATAATCAATAAATGAGCAGATATGACGCTGTTCGATTGGACATTCCATAACAACAAGCCTTTTAAGGCTGAAAAGTATTATTCTTCGAATAGAAAACTTGAAAAAGACCTAATTTACTACAAAATGAGTACAGGAGAGGATGTTTTGTCCATGCCTTCTAAAGAGCGTGCTTGCATTTTTAAGGGCATCGACAGTGAGCGGAAATATCCATGCTACTTGCGTAGTCATTTTAGAGAGTGAATTTTGTCGGTGACCGGGAAGAGGGACATTTAACTTGGCGTCCCATTCATGCCTGCATGATAATCCTAGGACACCATCTAAGTAATTCTTTCTAACCGAGAACACATTTCAAATTTTTGGTTAATGTTTTATGAGATACGTTGCCAAGGATCGATTCCAACTGGCCGACCTTACTCAAGACCATGTAGGAACCGGCGACGGTAGAAATGGCTGAAATCCATATCTATACTGTAAGCGGGGAGTCCACGGGACCTAAAACGGAGTCATTCGTTTACTTTACGCCTTAGTTACGGCTCCGTATCTTGCTGTCATCGGTTTCGGCTTCACCATTCTTTTCGCTCATTGAGTCGGTCCCAGTCTCGTTCAGATTGATCTCTCAGCGTCTCTGAGGTGAAATTATGGGCCACTTTCTTTTCGTTCAATGCACCTCTCTTTTAATTTAAGATATCTAACATCCAGCTTTGTGTTTCTGTTGCAGTTGGCTTTACGGAAATTCCATGGTGATGAAGGTAGAAGCGGCTACCGACGACCCCGAGAAATTGGAATGTGAAGTGCTCTTCAATCGCATTTCTTGGCGTCTCTTCCAGTCAACATTTGCTTCACGCTCCCCTCAAACCCTCTGATTCCCCGCCCCGTCCCCTCCCCTTGTGCTTTGTCAATCATAAACTTTTATACTGCAAAACTTCTCTGAGGTTTGAAAGCTTTTGACGGAAAAGTACTGAGGCTACTTCGCCCGTCTACTGTAAAACTTGTGGTTTAATGGGCAAATCGATTTACTAACAAAAGCGAAGAGACGAGTTCTGGGAATAAGTCGCGAAGAAGGAGACACGATCGCCGGAACAAGAGCTGTATTAGCCTGGTGATGGATTTTAGTGAGATTCCGAAACGTTCCAGCGATCGTTTCTCCTTCTTCTCGGACAAATCAATTTCAACGACGCGATCCATTGCCACAACCAGCAAAAGCCTCGTTGACTGACTTGTAAGCTATGTAGCCTATCCGGATTTTACATCGCTCTCCAATGCACGCGTTCTGTCACAAGCAAATCGGTTGCGGAATGCCTGTGCTAAAACTATTTAAGATGGGCCTACATCTATTTTGTTAACTGCGCGTCTGAGGCGGAGCAGGCCTCGTCAATATATCGAGAAAAATTTTTTATTCAAGATACTTTTGTTCATTGCGCCCACCGATCGCGTTACGGAACTCATTCGCCGCGTTGTGCCTTGGGACTCTATCTCGAGACTCACCGGGAGCCGAACAGCGGCGCGCAATATAAGCAGAGTAACATTACAGACAAAGACAAGGGAGAGAGGAATGGCCATTTCTGGCCTACTGACCGTTGTCAGCCAGAAATGACGAGCTGGTTGCAGATGGCTGCGTCGTTCTCGTCCAACCAGTCCAAAAGACCCACTGCCACGGCAAGGAACGCCTGGAGTCGTTTATCGGATCTGGTGCAGTTGCGGGCAAAGCAACTACGTCGGAGAAACTGGAAGACGGCTCCGAACGCGAATGGTCGAACACGCTGCAGCGGTGCGGAGAAATGACGCTAGCTCTCAAGTTGCGGTTCATTCGACGACATTCGGCCACACATTCAACTTTGACGAGGCCGAAATTCTCGCAAGAGGTGACAACCGCGTGAGCCGGGAGCTGCTTGAGGCATGGTTTTCTGGCCCCCAGTCCATTAAGAAGTGCAATGATCTTCCCTTTCCATACTCGGTGCTGAGACTTCGCCTAGGCGGAGTAATTGGCCACGCGGGGAGCGCACAGGTGAACACTCTTCCCAACACCAGGGTCAGTGGGTCAGATGCTCGAGCCATCATCACACCAACATCCAGCGCACGTGATGAATTTGCAGTAATTAACGATACGAATGTCGGCCATCAATCAGTCATCACACCAAGTGCAACGCTCCCTCATGAAGAGAGGGGAGCCGTGAATTTTCATAGGTATGCGGTAGCATGGTGACTGCATCCTATAAATACTGCAGCCCCTTATGCATGAATCACCCGTATCTGCAGGAAATGCGAAACGTCAGGCTAATTAAGCTCTTGTCCCAGCGATCGTGTCTCCTTCTTCAAGATCAGTTCTTGTTTCGATGACGTGCGCGGCCGAGGAAATCCACGGCGGTCAGCGTCCCGCAGTTGGCCTGCTGCAGGCTTAGAGACGGGCCTCATCTTGGAGATGAAGAGGCGGAGGTCCGTCCAACCGTCGACGTCGCAGATCGCCTTGGTTACCAACACATTCTGTCAATCACGCTGCCGAACGAGAACGCAGTCCGGTTGCTGCCAGCGCCGCGACCGGGGGGGAGGCTGCATCCAGGTGGCCTTCTTCCGCATCGACAGGCGGAAGAGGATGTTGGTCGGCAGGAGACAGGGTTCAGCGCACTTTCGCAGGAGGAGGAGGAGGCGACCATTGTCGTTGTGGCCGTCGATTCCGGGAGGACCCAACAGCCCTCCTGGCAGCGCGGCGTGTCCCGGACTGGGAATTGAAGTCGCCAAGGACAATAAACATGTCCGCCTTCGGCGCAAACGTTAGGAGAGCGTGCAGGTTTTCGTAAAATTCGATCTTCGCCTCGTCAGAACTGGTCATTGGCGGAGCGTAGGCACTGATGATGGTGGCGCATTGAGATCCCCGAAGGGTAAGGCGCAGGCTCATCAGTAGGTCGTTGATGCCCTGCGACAGACAGGACAGTCTCTCACGATGTTCCGGGGTCAGGGGGGGCGCCGGCATCTCGTCGATCTACCTTTGGGCAGCCGCTGCAGAAGAAGGCGTAGCTGGCACCCACCTCCGGTCGACTATATTCGGAGAACCTGTTCTGTCAGAGTGCATCGATATTCACCTTGTGGCGCGTCAGTTTCCTGGCCGCTAGCGCCGTCCTCTGTTCCGGTCGGTTGCTCCTCGCATTGTCTAAAACTAAACGAGCATTCCATGCTGCAAGAGTGAGCGGACTCACCTTAGCAGTCTGTGGAGTCTGGAGGAGGAGAAAAGGGAGGTTGTTGACTTTTGTTTTGTTCTTTTGACCGCGTGTTTTACGTCCGCGAGCCACGGTCACCGTGCAGAGGACGTGATCCCAGCATTTGTTCGGGGCACTTTTTTCACCCATTTGTCTGCGAGGAGGGAAGCAGTGCTATTACTAAATAGGGCTGCTTAGACATCTTTGACGGCTGCCAGATTCCAGTATGTGCCACGACTTTGTTTAGTGGGAAAACGACCCAAGTTAACCTGGGCTGCCTACGGGATTTCATGCCGCCCTCTTCTCCGTAGGACATTTATGAAGTGGGTGGGAGGCAGAAGGGATGATGGAAGGGTAGAGAATAGGGAGGGCAGAGTCCCCCTGATTGCTGAATTATAAACGGTGAGCAGGCAAATTCAACAAAACGGCTTTCAGCTTACCCAGTGCTCGCTTACCTTAGGGCCTCCTTCGGGGTGGCAGACGGAGCCCCATCTAGGATATGACGGGGGGGGGTGATCCGTCCGACTAGCGGTGTTCCTCACCCTCTCCGTAGGACTTCGGAGGTGGGGGGTAGGTAGAACGGGAGCAGGGGTGGGAAGGGAAGCAGAATTACCGGGTGTGGGGACACATAACACTCCATGATCTCAAACTGATTTAGCCTGCCAGTCGAGGCGGTTAACGGGGTGTGGCCGCTAGACATAGCCCAGCTTCGAGGAGTCACCGGTGGTATTTGAGTGCCAGTTAGTGGGTGCCAGGTGTAGTCAGCACCTGTGCGCAAATAAAGTGATATACTGTAACCACCTCGTGAACCCACAGCTGAACACCCCTACACTCCATATATTCGGACATATATCTGCATATCAATCCGTGGACTCAAAATCTGTGTTCATAAGTAACTTTAAGTGAACTGACAACTTAAAGGAAGTAGTAAAGGTAATATTACGCTGCTTAGAGATACCGGTCGGATGCGGTTGTGTAGTCCCGCCTGGCGCAAACAACCCCCCAGCCGCATGCAATACGGGACCGGTGGTAATAGGGTTTTTTTAGGTGGGGCTGGGGAACGCACATGCGACGAGGTGAAGTAGTTGTATGCAAAAGAATGTGCGGTTGTACTTTTAACTGGTTTAGAAATAGTTGCCCTAACACCTAATTGTAACCCCTACCCATGACCCCTTATTCTGATCCCTAAACGCAATCCCAACACTGTTGTGTCCATCAAGTGGGCTACATAACCAAATCATACCGAAATACCGATCTCTAAAAAAACAGAAAAGTCCTAAAATGTCAGAAGTGGTTTAATTGAGTAAATTTCGGTTTTAAATGCATAGGATGTCCGACCATGCGAAAATTGAGTAAGTATGACAGCGCAACTAGAATAACCTTCAACGATAGTGTTTTATTGAGTTTTACAGTAAAATGCCTTTTAGGAATTAATGTAATGTCGGTTATGGCAGTTTACATTCAGAGTATAGACGTCAAAATGGTTTCCCGAGAATTTGTTGTATTTTTGCGCCGTTGGATTGATTAATATGGGGTCCAAGAAGGCAAACAGAACTCTGCATGATTTCGCAGATATGGAAAACTCGGCGACTCGGTGGGATTCGAACCCACAACAGTAAGGGGAAGGCTGTAGTACAGCCAACAGCTCGTTACATTTCTAAGTAACTTATGAGCAGAAGCTAGACTCCGCAAAAAATTAATGTTTCATGTGCTCAAAATTGAAAATGACTATTCGGTGGTAGTCATTTCTGTGACAACACTCGTAATTTTCCAAATCGCAAAACGGTTTCGGCCCTGTGTGCGTTACTGCACTTAAAGACACTATCACCCCCCCCCCTCCCCCGCCTGCACCTGCACCACCCAGCAGCAGAAGCAACATCTATTACTGTACAACGCAAGGACTCCATCGCCTCGCAAGTGAGAACTGTACTTATCGGCTCCTACTCCACGCGGATACTCTGCTTCATAAGCGCCCGATTCCGAATCTGCCGCGGTGCGTTGGCCCTGTGGCTTGGAAGGCTGTCGACTGAGGTCTCAACCCAGTCCACGCAGTATGCATAGCTGTGTGTGTGTTTTTGTGAAGTGGCAGTTTGGTGGGCTGAAAGTCAGGGCTCCCTCTTAACGTGACCTCTTGGGGTTTTACGTGTGGGAGGAGTCGCTGTGTACTTTATGGATAGTGTCTCTTAGCCAATGACTGATCGGTTAGGCAGCCTTTGAAGGTGATAGCGCAGACGAAGTGCAGAGTCGCGGGTCACGCTTCGGGGGCTTAAGGATTCAGTGAGCGCCTGCTATGCCATGATCAGCAAACAATGACCTTCGAAGCCTGGTGTGCACTGGCAGTTCTCTGGCACCCGGTGCGCTGGCGACAGATGCGTCTGCACTCTCGTCACAGGTACACAGACGGTATGCATGGCTACCCGGAGACTTGTGTCATCATCTTCTCTTTCTGACCCACTATTGTCGTCGGATGAAATTCTAGTAGTGTTTTTCCTGTGTCAGCAGGTGTGGAGGTATGCCCAGATGCGGTTACGGCCGAGTCAGCCACCTGCACCCTCTCCCGCCTTCCGTCTTCTTGACACCAAGCGCAGGTGGGAGAGGGTGGGAGAGTGCAATAGGTGCTATGCAAGTCTGCTGTAACTGTAAACTAATTCACGCGCAAGTCGCCGTGCTTGCATCACCTTGCTGTAGAGCGCAAGGTGGACCTTGTCGGCAAAAACGGTCAAGTTAACAGAGTTACATTAGCATGCATACCTGATTCTCTCAGGGTTTCTCTCGACCGGAAGACGTCAAACCGTAAGAGGCTAGGCAAATTTGTCTCTGGATTTTGGGCTTAACCTTTGAAATCATAAGTGGGCCTTCAGTGTATTGTCATCATGAATGATATGCGAATATCAGCCGAAATTTACGGGTGATAGCACAATTTCTACTCAGGCCATGCCGACTTCCCATTCGAAGGTGTCAGTAAATTTGCGCGTGGGCCAACTGCCTCATCGCAGCTCATATACCGTAGGTGGGCTAACTCATGAAATGTCGGAATTCGTTCTCGTTTCGAAAAGATTAATTAAGTCGGGTTGTAAAAGTAATCATTTTGCAGCACAATTCTATAATAATCCAGTTACCTCAGGGTGTAGGCTTTCGAATAAATTTCTTTCCGACTGCATACAAGAATTATACTCTGCAACAAAAAGACTACTGAATTAGCACGCAATTTTCCTAGTAATTTTCGATGCACTTAAGCACTCAATTATATTTCACGGAAAACCTGCATAAAAATATTTATTCTTTTGCTCATTCGATAGAAAAGGGTATCTTTTTCCAATTTTATGCTCGAAGGAAGGGTATTATTCGGTTTTCAAAAACTTTTCCAATTCCCGAATAATTTTGAACCTGACCTGCCGTTACACCTGCATTTAGAGTTTCCAAACTACAAGCCGTATATTTTTTACGTATGGAAAACCACACATTTCTCTAGGTGTTAAGAGAAGACCATGTGGGGTTTATAAAATTTAGCAGTAGATTGGAGCCATATTGTTAACTTTACAAGCCACATTAGTAAATGCAGAAACATGACGTTTCACGGTATTTAAATGTTCCACAATTAGAAACTTTTTTAAAACCGAATTATACCCTTCTTTCGAGCATAAAATTAGAAAATGACGCAATTTTCTATCGAATGAGCGAAAGAATTAATATTTTTATGAGGTTTTTCATGAAACATAATCGAATCTTTAAGAGCATCGAATATCAGTACGAAAATTTCATTTTTACAGAGTACCGTTCTTGCATGCAGTCGGAAAGAAGTTTATTCGAAAGTCTACAGCCTAAGGCAACTGCATTATTATAGAATTATGCTGCAAAATGATTACTTTTACAACCCGACTTAATTAATCCTTTTGAAGGGAGAACGAATTTCGAAATTTAGGCTGACATTTCATGAGTTAGCCCCCCTACTGTACGTGTCGATCAGTAGCACGCCTTGAACACTCCTCTGGCCTGCGCCAACCACTGACGCCTACCGTCGCTTTCTATCAGCAGTTTGCACGTCCTGGTCGAAAAATGTCTGTCCGGTAGCATTTTACCTCTTGCAGATTTGTGAAGAACACTACTTCTCTGCGTAACCAATCGACAACGGCCCCTACGATCCTATTTGTGGAGACTGGCGTTCGCAGGGAACACTTTGGTTGACAAAGCTCGGCCTATAGTTGGCTGGAAATGACGGAAGTGAATTCCTTAAAAAGAACAGGGCAGGGAAATAAACGTTAAAATCAGTCAGCACAGGTGGTTCACTTGCTCGTTTTTGTCGGACAAGTTCATTTAAATTATATTTCACTCTCATATTTTATAGCGTACGGCTAAGTGAAGACCTCTTATGTAATTCAGACTGGAACAATCTGGTTAAAGAAGAACACCTGATGAAAACCAGACAATTGTTTTTGAAACAAGGCCTTTGTCTCGCCAGCTGAGTCATTAAAAATTAAATACACGCAATTCAGAGGTAGGGGCAATGGGACGAGTGGAGTCCGAACTATGGAAGGGATGGGATCACATTATTAAATCCGCGGCGAAAAATCGTTAGTTCGCCTCCTTCTTCCTAGCATTAGAACCACCTGCTCTCGGCTCTTATACCAGATTACGCGTAACCGCTATAATCTGCTTTCAAGTATCCCTCCCAGAACGTGGTGGGACTGTTACTGTTGAATGGGGGATCACGGCACTGGGTGGTTGCCTTACCTACTGCCGACCTCAGAACCATGACCGTATTCCTCTTTTCTCCGGGAAAAGGTGCCCAAAAGAATAATGTGCATAAACCGATTTTCGAATTTAAGAAAATAATGTTATTACTCTGTTGATGACCCCCCTCCAAATATACAGTGTCCCAAACAAATTACAGCACGTACCCAGTCCAGAAAAGCCCTAAATTATCTTAAACGTCTGACCGATGTGACCTATAGTAAATGCAAGGCAAATACCGTTTCGACTAGTTGTCTCCAGCGTAGCAGCGCGGCAGTATTAGCAGCGCTGCCGATCAATCAGGGCCATCCGCCCCCTGACCAATGAACGCTGTGCTTGAACATTCGATCGCGATTGGTGGTTGCATCAGCTGCTGCCGGTTTAAGGCCTCTGCGTCAGAACTACCGGCAACCGCTCGAAAATGGAAGATTTCGGAAAAACAGCGAAGGGCACTCCCGTGAAAAAGATAACCATAAGGCCGAAACTCCCAGAAAAATTGGCCTCGGGCAGCGATGGTGAAGTATGGAGCGGAGTGAGAGCCGTATTCCTCAACTACGGTGCAGTCCTCCATCAGCTGTGGATCCCTGGCCACACGGACACGAACGGCAAGAAGACGACGTCCCTCACGTTGGCCGATGTGGTTCTCGGTTATCCGGACGTCAGCGGTTACGAGATAAACAAACCCTTTCACGGGGCCATAGTTGGGCGTGTGGCTGGTCGCATTAGTAATGCCCGCCTGTGCATTCCCTACGAACTGGACCCCTCCATGAACGGCTTCTATAGATTGACGGATAATATGAAGAAACTACACTGTCATCATGGCGGAACGTTAGTTGTAACTTTTCACTTCGTTGCTTGCCACTTCTGCCCTTCATTTTTAACGATCCCGGCAGTGTTTAAAGGAATTAGAGATGTATAATCCCCTTAGGATTAAAATATCTCCCACTATTAGGACCAGGCATCAGGCAACGCTTTCTGTCCTGAATGTAGGGCTTTGGAATAGTAATACCCAATCGAGTAACAGAGACTTTAAAAGGTGAAATCTTCGCTTTAGGTATGATTAAGGCGATACGTTTTTGCTTTATTCTTTAAAGTTCAGCGTTAGTTCGGAAAAAATAGCTGTTTCACTCGGTTTGACCGAGCGAAGATTTCAAATATTACCTTTATTGCATACTACATATAGCAACCTTACTAGCATGCGGCTGCTTCAAGGGTTGAGGTAAATTGGGCAAGATTTTCACGAATTCCATGATACTTTGTGGTTTGCATCATATACTGTAATAAATACAGTTTTACTTATGTGATTTAAAAATTTGGCCCGTCATTTCTTCTCGTCTGTTCTCGTCCAAACGGTGGGATTAAGGGCAGGGCCGGGATTTAAATAGATAGCGCAGTTCATCCTAGTTCCCCGTAAAACAACTAACAGAAAGCGGTTTGCCTGCGGTATTGTTTCTACTGTTTGATTTACGCAAGGAGCTTACTCATGCTGTCTGTTCTGTAAAAAGTCTTGCTGTATTATGATCAGTTGTAGTGAAAATTAAAGAAGGCCGATCTCGGAGATCAGATCATAGCCCCGCCCATCCCAATGCAGTCCAGTCTTCAAGACGGGAACGTGTGCTAGCAGGGAACAATAGGCAAATATGTTGCTAAACTGTAGGGCCCTGATTATGATAATGTACAGAGTGGAGGATTTATTTCATACTTTCATACCGAACTACTGGACAGATTAACAGCCGTATTTCGAGAACTTATAGGTGTTTCCACCATTTGCACTATATTTCATTTTCTAATAATTTTGTCCGAAAATTCGGATAAAGCATTAAGTTATTCATTTCAAACTAGGCTGCATTTCGCCAAATTTTTCTAGTAGTTTTGTTTACATTCATGAGGTTCTTAATGCTTCGCTTGAAGTTTGCAAAAAGCACAAAAAATATAACCTCCTCTATTTATATGCACTCCACGAAAGAAAATGTGGCGTGACCAATGACCCGCACTTGTAACTGCTTGACCCAATAAGCTACGATGACAGGAGTTAGTCTAATTTTTCGGACAATAAGCTTTTTGCTTTCGAATTATTTCAAGTCCGATTTGTTGCTACCATTAAGATCGTCTGCACACACGCCCATTACCGCAATCCTCGAGGTTGGCTACCTACTGCCTACGTTACTGCAAAATAATTCTTGACTGACATCATCAAATGTGTTCTGGTTATCTTGTCAGTAGTGTCTCGGAACCAAAAATACAGTCAGTGCCCGATCTCATGAAATGTCGACTAACAATTTTAAATGCGTTTTCGATTTTGGCGGGGTTGGAAGAATGAACATCATGCAGCACAATCCCCTGCTATTGCAAACACGATAGAATGCTGGCTTTTGAATGCGACAACTGTGGTCGGCTGCGGAAACTGCACTCGGCAAAAAAAACTGCTTGCGCAATATGCACTTTTCCTATTCATTTGAGTGGCTTTCACACAAATTTTCGTGAAGATACTTTCACGAGGGCAAGTGTCAATTGGCAGCTGCATGGATGTTTACTTCAACGAACGTACGGGGAGACAATGATTGATGAGGAACTGGATCGAAAGTCCGACCCCCTGAAATGGCGTCAGATGCCCTATCACTCAACGATCGCACTCACACTCCACAACTTTTTTCAAGGTTTAATCGTCCCCGAGGCTAGACGTAGGGGGAACTTATCGATTCACTTATACAGTAGATGGACTAACTCATGAAATGTCAACTGAAATTCGGAAGTGCGTCTTCGTTTCGAAATAATTAGTTAAGTAGGGTTGCAAAACTAATCATCATGCAGACTAATTATATAATAATTCAGTTACCTCAGGATGTCGGCTTTCGAATAAATTTCTTTTCGGCTGTATGCAAAAATCATACACTGTAAAAATGACCACATATGTAGCATGCATTTCTCTCATTGATTTTCGATGCCCTTAACTATTCAATTATATTTCATGGAAAACAGGCATAAAAATATTCATCCTTTCGCTCATTCGGTTGAAAATGACGTCTTCCAATTTTATACTGAAAGGAAGGACATAATTCCGTTTTCAAAAACTTTTCCAGATTTCGAGTAGTTTTAAGCCCGAAATGCAGTTACATTTACATTCAAGGTTTGCAAACTACAAATCATATATTTTCTGCGTACGGACAACCATACATTCCTCTACAGTGTTAAGAGGAGACCATATAGAGTTCATAAAATTTAGCAGTTGATTTGAGCCGTATTGTTAACTTAAAAAGCTACATTGGTAAATGCAGAGACATGACGTTTTATGAGCGGCCATTTCACGGTATCAAAAATTCACAGAGTAATAAACTTTCTGGAACCAAATTATACACTCCTTCGAGTATAAAATCGGAAGAAGACGCCATTTTCTACCGAATGTGCAAAAGAATGAATATTTTTGTGCATGTTTTCCCTGAAATATAATTGAATATTTAAGGGCATCGAAAATAAATTTGAAAATGTACCCTACTTAAGTGGCCATTTTTTGCAGAGTATGGTTTTTCCATGCAACCGGGAAGAAATTTCTTCAAAAGCCGACATTCTGAGGTAACTGATTTATTATTGAATTATTCTGCACGATGACTAGTTTTACAACCCTACTTAATCCATCTTTTTGAAGCGAAAACACATTTCGGAACTTCGGTTGACATTTAATGAGCTAGCCCATCTACTGTACGACTGGCAGTCGTGAGTGGGATTTCTCAGAGGTAGATCACGCGACCGAAATTCCATAAATTGGCTGTTCGTACCTGTTGCACTGAAAACGCTCATAATCGGTATGATTTCCCCATTTGTTATTGTCCTCCCTAGAAAGTGTTCGTACTGAAAACGTCACGCTTCCTGCAGAAAGTGCTGTTGTCGAAAACCGTGGCTCATTGTATCCTGCTTACAGTAAGATTTAGGTTTAGTCTTTTTGCAAAGACAGTCTAATGTGAGAGATGGAAATAAGGCCATGATAGGAAGAAGATGAGCTCACTCATTGAATAGGCAGGAAAGCCAACTGTAAATGACTCCTCCTACGCTTTGCTTTCGTTGCTATTGTAAGTTTCAGTCACACTTTGAAATACTTAACTCACTTTCCCTATTTTTTGACATTTACCCTACTATCGAGATGCCCCATCCGCAAAACCACCAGTCCGGTAAGACAGGCGGTTGTGGTTAGCTGGTGATACTTGGGGGCCTTCATTAGATCCTTGCCGGCCTTTTTGTAGAAACAATCTTCTGTAAGATATGAGGATAGGGCCATGATAGATGGAGGGTGGGCAAACTCACGAGATAGGAAGGAAAGTCAACTTTGAATGATTCTTTCTGTGAATACGGTGAGGTGTTCAGTCCTAATATCTGACCCAGGATTATCCTGAGGACGACAGAAACAACGCGACCTTTTAAAAACTGCTCATAATCCTTCGAGATGCACTCAAACGGTCTGACGGACTCGTGAGTAAAATAGCTAACGGCCTTTGCATATGTGACTCTTCTGTTCTACTAACGACAGCTTTGACAGCATATGTGAGTCTAAGCATGAAGCCTCTGTTGGTAGTCCGGGTAAATCAGACCAAGGAATCTGTTCTCATTGTTAAATTGATTTATGCATCATTCCTCCTAGAGCGCTTTTGTTTCGGCAGCTAGAACGCCGAGGATAAACGGTTGCCAAGGCAAGAGTAGTTTACACAAATCTATCCTCGCACGGAACCCATTCTAACCCATTCTACGAGCTGTGCTAAAACAAACTAATCAGCTAGGCATTATACCGCCTGAACTATGGCGGCTGCAAATTTCGTGAGGTGACTTGACAGTTGTCATTAGAGGTGGGTTACAATAAATTTCTAGGTCTTGTCCACGGGCGCCAACTCACCATCTGGTGCGAGTTGAATAAACGATACTGTTGCACCGCCGCTCATCGTTTCTGAACTACGAGGGAAAGAATATGGACCATGTGGCAGCGCAGACTACCACCCTCTTTTCCCGCAACCCGTTTGAGGACTAATCACCCACTCGCGTTATTCTTAGCCAGTTACGCTGTCATCATCTTAACTCAGAATATCCTTCAGAGACACTTGTTGCAGTAGAACAGTCTGCAGGAATGTTAGGTAGAATGTAGGATATCTTCTTGCAAAGGACAGCTGACTTCATTTACTTATCAACACATCAGTCTCATAAATGTAAGTTTTAAGAGCGACCAGAAGGTTTAATTCTTTTCACCTAAATTCAGGTTTGGACTATCAAAACGGACATGGGAGATTCTTGAATTGAAGTCAGACAGTGTCAAGTTTAAAATCTTCTCCCCTGATGGTGATGAGGGTTTTCCCGGCAACCTAACCGTTTATGTGAGCTATCGCATAACGGTCAACTCTGAGGAGAAAATCGAACTCTCCATCGACTACTTCGCCAGCGTGGCAGGCGGCATCACTCCACTGAGTCTAACCAATCACACTTATTACAATCTGGCGGGTCACCTAGCGGGACCGGAGGCCCTGGACCGACACATCGCTTGCATCGCTGCGGACCGGCTTCTCGAGACCGAAGGCGATCTCATTCCCACGGGTCGAATCCAGAGGGTAGAAGAGGTGGACGGCGCAGATCTGCGCAAACCAGTTAGCCTGAAAGATGGTCTGCAGAAGATCCAGCCAGCACCGTTTCAGGGCTATGATGAGTACTACATCTTCAACCAGATTCCTCCAGATGAGGCCAAGGTAACCGTCTCGGAGCCAAATTCTGGCCGGCGGGTTGAGGCCTTCAGCGACCAGCTGGGAGTCCAGTTCTACACTGGCAATTGTCTGGAACCAAAAACTGATCCGGTGGGAAAAAATGGCTACAGTTACCCACAACACAGCGGTTTTTGCATTGAGTTGCATGGCTTCCCGGACGCAGTGAATAAACCCAATTTCCCACAGTGCTTTATTATTCCCAATGGGAAGCCCTACACTCAGAAGTCAAAGTATGTGTTCTCCTTCTAACTGCATGACTCCTATCTAGCCACAAGGTCTGCCTGACGACTTAGATGACTTAGTTTTACTCCTTATCCTTTTTCCAACTGCCTCTTCGACAGTAAGGCGGCGCGCTTGTCCTCAGTCATGTTTTTTAGACGGACACGTCCTTATTCGCGCTTTTCGCGTCTAATCCTGGACTTGACCGTGCAGAGGATATGGTTCCTCATATATTTTGGCCCTTTAAAGCTTGCCATGTGGTGGTTCTGTGCGAATCTTTCCATCTCAAATTATTTTACTGTCGCAATTGGTTGCAATTATAGTGTTAAACCAATCACATCTCTCTGTCACATGGGAATGTCATTCACTGATTCATCTCCTTTTACTGAACGGACTACAAGTGATTTCTTCTTGTTGTACAGCTGCAGTCCACAGATTTGGCGGTTGGCCGCATAGAGACGAGCAACTGATACTCCCAGTGCTGCTGACAAAGGGACTGGAATTATCGTTTCAGCTTGCCTGCTGCAGTCGTTTGGTGATGAATCAACCGCAGACTCTGAGATGCCGGCTCACTCGGTTGTCGAACACTTGGGTTAGGAATGTTTTACTTGAACCAGGAGTCAACGCCTTCTCAACCACATACGGCTATTTCAGTCTCCTCGTCAGGAAGACATTTTAATCACATTTCCGACGCACCATGTCACATGCCCCTTACTTTTCCTTTGTGACTTGGAAGGTAATGTGATAGGGCATGGGAGTAAGTGCCTTTGCGAAGTTACATTCCCAAAGAGTGCCTACTTATTTGATTTAGGTAGCTGTAAAAACAAGTTTTACGGCGGATTGGATAGGAAATGATACGTGGACTGCAGAACTCATTGGCGTGTTTGGGTTTACTGGGCGAGACTGACCGCATGAACACGGCATCAATTTTTTCGGAAATGGAATAAGCGTACTGAGTCAGCGCTGGATGTGTGTGCGAAGCCAGCAGGCCTACGCACCAGTTCAGAGCGTGCAAAGTATTGGTGAGTTCATAGCTATACGGGGTAATCGTTAGACGCGCCTACACAAACCAAAGACGCATACGTAGCCCGACACGAAGTTGTTTACTTCCGCGAGTTAGTTGACGCATGGGGCCACCAATCGGGGTGTCTATGCGAACGCATCCATGCGAATAAATGCGTGACTAAGAGGAAACCAATTGAAGATAAGAAGATTGGCGGAGACGGTAACAAAAGGCATAAAGGCGACCTTGTTGGTGGCTGGTACAAAGACGGCTGTGGACTATAAAATCCGTTAGAAACATTGTATATGGCGTAGGCAAAGACTGCATGGATCCACACGTCAATGGGCCTTGCAGATAAGTTTATTTGAAGTAATATTTCCCCGGAATGAATTAAAAGCAAGCATAGACAGCAGAATTTATTGGAACCAATAGATTTCGCGACGGCTTATCAACTGCAGCCTGTCGTTGCATGACACAGATACCAAATGAAAAAAGTACAAAGGCTTGAACTTCCACGGAGAAAATCAATATAAAACAGCAAGGTTATCGTATACTGCACGTAGACTAATCAATAAAATGGCAACTTGAAAACGTAACATAGGAAAGAAAACGGGAACACGCCGAGAGATTGCACAAAGAAAAGGGCTCCGATTTATGAGGACAAGCTGAGGTTTACCACGTGGTCTAACTGTTTGCATAGGTCAGGTCTCTGCCAGCCTATAAGTATGCGAGTTGTTCCTGCCCGGATTTATACTAGAAAAGATGTTTTAGGGTCAACCGAATGACCGCTATCTAGGAGGTGCTTTGTGATAGAAGACCGTGGAATTTTATTCGCCTGCTTTAGAAGCCATTTAGGCAGGTGTTCCACTGACCTGGCTTCCAGTCGCCTTTGCGTTAGCCCAATGTACTTGCATTCGTAAGTGCATGTGAATTCGTAAACACAGTTTGACGTGGCGTGCAATGGCAGTGCATCCTTCGCCCGTGGAACTTGGATAGCCTTAGTGGGGCTGCTAAATATGAGTTCAGCTGAATTGTATGTTTTTGCATTGGCGCACCTCAATCGTCGATGTTGGTATTTGAAATGTTGCCACCCTTAAAGGGTAAAAATATTACAACGGGCTTTTTCGGAACTGACTGCTCCGTCAGGTTTGGCCGTAAAGTGTTGCCGTTGTTTGAATCACATAAGCAGACAATCTATGGGAATGTAATTCACGGGGTTTATTTATTCTCGTTTCCAATCGGTAATGGGACGGTATATTTTGGTTGAGGGAGTTTAGCAGAAGATCTCATTGGAACCAACTTCGTAATTGAGAGTGTCTAGGAGCGGACTACGTCGAGGTAAAAATTTAGTGGCTATTTCAACCCAATCTGAAAAAGAAGCAAAAAGTAGACTGTTCGAACGTCATCATAATTTCCGAGCGATCCTCTCCGCCTTTCCTCCTAGCTGGCGAGACTGATAGTCACCGTCCACGGCCGCAAACACTTTTCTGCGGAAATCAGGTAACCGTACGCATATGGACTTTATCGAAGACATTACTAGTACTACGGTAGGGCGTCCTCGTATACCTTAACCCACTCAGCCCAATTGACATTAAATCTCTCATCCGCTGACGGCGCACCTCATGTGGGCCCGGTTGCTGCTCGCTGATTACTCATTCGGCAAAAAAATCAACCGGCATTGGTCCAGCGCCAGCCATTTACCGCTGTAATCTCTCCGCAGGCATAAAGGCTGTTCGGTCAACTTTCTCCTCTTGATTTAGAAATGCACAATAATAGTCAGTAACACTCGACACTGAATGCCGCATCCACCATCTAACCTGTGGGTCGCATAGGGCTAATTTCGAAAAAACGGTCTCGTTGATCCCATTCTCACACCCTCTGCCCCAGTGCACTTATTCAACCGGTGTCCAAATCAGAATGGTAAAACAGTGAGCCGCAGTGGTCTCTTGATAATCGATACACTGTTTCAGTTCTGGCGAATCTCCTTTCACAAATAAAGCTTATTTTTCCTCTTGCATGGGAACGTCACCTAGTTGACAACAACCCCCTAAAGACTTGTCCGATCGATACGCAGCGATCCAAGTTCCGAGATGGTTTTCTAATTATTCGCGCTCTGTGCACCAGCGCATAGAGTCTGACAGAGGAAACTCGATGCATCCGTAGACACGCTTAAGATTTCTGTAGTGCTTATGCTCAGCTACAGATGGCTCTGAAAATAGACAATTATATTTGACAAAGCAAAACGCAAAAACAACCCGAGACGTTTATATTTTAAGACAAATGCTAAACAGGCCCTATAGTCTGGGGGTTTCATGCCTAGTTTCTAAAACAATGTCTGCGCCCAGTGAGAATGGGTTACATCAAAGATTCAAACATCAAATGCCCAGTGACAGTTTGGTTATGGCGGACAATGGTGTCCATCGAATGTTCCACATTCAGGTGTGCGCAGGGACAGTGGCTTGGTGGATTCTAGGGTTGATTACTTAGGAAATCCTGCCCGGGCAGTCAGCTCACTGTACCAGATTTTGTGGATTCCAGACGTTGCAGTAGACTGGGCGGGTAACTTGAGTCAAATGTGATTTAACTCACGTCGTCCGGCGGGGCCTCGTAACTCAGGTAGCTAGAGCGTTGGTTGTACTAAGGCCTTCCCCTGCTGTCTTGTGTTCGAATCCCACCGAGGCTCCGAGTTGTTCACGATTGAGTCAGTATGAACGCCAAGGCAAGCTGCCCTTTGTATTCCTCGGCACATTGGCTGACCACCAAGAAGTTATCGATGTAGGCGTACGCAAACGATAGGCCAGGTAGGACATTTTCAATGGACCTCCGGCACGTTTGCTCGGCATCGCAAAGACCGGAAGGCATGCAGATTAAAAGAGGCCAAAGGGTGGAATGACGGCGGTTTTTGTGGTATTGTCAGGCCTCTTTGTGGCGATTGCAAGTTTTCATTCTTGGTCCCGCTTCTCATCTCTAATATTGCAAACTGTTCCATCCGATACAAAAGGTTTCCAACTCTGTGAACAAGGAAAACTTAACATATGATCATGAGCGATCATGTCCCCGCCAGTAGCTTAATCTTGGATAACGTCTTGTGCTATAAGTGCATCCCACCTCGTGTAACTCGTGCCTTTGACGTTCTATCAGTTTGGGAAACACTGCAATGACATTAAATAGTAATTAATTATGTATCCGCAAGTTGCGAATTAACTCTGCGCTCCAATGACCAAGACTATGGAACGGATGTCTTTTCCATGAGATAGAATAGGAAGAATTTTTTATGCTCAGTATGATTACCTTTTTGTAGAATGTTCAATGGCAAAGGTACAAAATCATCAGAAATGGAGAAATGCACTTTCGCCGCAAATGATTTGCCGCTAAATTTGTATGAGTGTCTCGCAAAACTTACGCGTTTCTCTTGCCAATAGTTCTCTGAGCGCTGATCGACGCCTTTCGTTCAGAATGCAGTAGGGTATGACTCTAACCGTTACAACTTACGGGCCTATCTTCTTATCACATCTTGACTTGACAAATGTAATAAAAATGTCTTAGTGTGTTGGTGGGCTTTTCAGTTACGGATTATTGGATACACACCCTCTTTGTCCTCATGTAGCCTATTTCCCTAATATATGATTGGCAAGTCGGGCTGTTTTGACGTCATATAACACCGCAGTTAACCGGTCTTATTGCCTAAAGGTCACTAAGAGATCGCTTTAATGCAGCTCCCCGATCTATTTTAACAAAGGTGGCGTCTACCTTTTAGCGATTCGTCAGGCCCCCCGGCGTCGTGAACTGGACCTGAACTCTAGTCTGGGTCGTCTCACGCCGGATGGAGCACTCGTCAGTCAGTTGACAAAGGGTCCGGACGAGAAGGAAGCTGAAGCCTTGATCGATTCAGTCGGTGGGTGGATCGTAGGAAAAGTTGTACGCATTTTCTGATTTTGGGCGCCAATTATGCATTTATCTGCTTTTACAACGTCCTGCATACTCATTCTTGTCTGAGATGACATGATTATTGTTTCCGTGACGCCAACCTGCGCTCTTATGTCCAGTTCTTCACGAACAGCGTCTGGCAGTCTTAGTATGACAGTGAAAAATCACCTCCGACAGACTGGAGAGGACTAGAGAGGGCGGGTTAACTCGTGAAATGTCAACCAAAATTCCAAAATGTGTTTTCGTTTCGAAAAGATTAATTAAGTAGGATTGTAAAATTTATCATCTTGAAGCATAATTCTGTAATAATTCAGTTACCACGGGATGCTGATTTTCGAACGAACATCTTTCCAGTCGCATGCAAAAACCACACTTTGTATAAAATGACTATTTAGATGGCATGCATTTTTTCGTGGATTTTCGATGCCCTTAAAAATTCAATCACATTTCATGGAAAGCATGTATAAAAATATCCATTCTTTTGCACATTCGGTAGAAAATTGTGCCTTCTTTCAATTTTATTCTCGAAGAAGCGGTAAAATTCGGGATCCAAAAACTTCTCCAATTCTCGAATAATTTTAAACCCGACCTGTCGTCACACTTGCATTCAGGCTTTCCAAACTATCAGCTGTATATTTTCCGCGTGCGAAAAACCATACATTTCTCTACGGTATAAAGAGGAAGCCAAATCAGGTTCATAAAATTTGGCAGTGGATTTGAGCTATATTGTTAACTTTACAAGCCACATTGGTAAATGCAGAAGCACGAATTTTTATAAACGGCCATTTCACGGAATTAAAAAATCTCACAGTTAGAAACTTTTTGAAACCCGAATTTTACTCTGTTTTCGAGTATAATATTTAAAGAAGACGCAGTTTTCTACCGAATGAGCAAAAGGATGGATATTTTTATACATGCTTTCCATGAAATATAATGGAATCTTTAAGGGCATCGAAAATCAATGAAAAAAATGCATGATACTCAAGTAGTCATTTTTTACAAAGTGTCCTTTTTGCATGCGGCCGGAAAGATTTTCTTTCGAAAGTCAGCATCCTGGGGTAACTAATTTATTGTAGAATTACGCTTCAAGATGATAAATTTCACAACCCTACTTAATTAATCTTTCGAAACGAAAGCGCCTTTCGGAATTTCGGTTGACATTACATGAGTTAGCCCACCTACTTTACATCGCCAGTGGTAGCTCTGAATTGTCAATAACTGTCACGTTGGTGAACTGGAAACGCCTGCTGGCGGATCAATTAATCGAAATGCGGCGTGCTTGACGTTGTGCCGTCTTTGACAGTTACGAGTCTCGCCCCTCCTTCTTCTCATTCTTGCCATTGTGGCAACTTTGCGGCCTTTCCTCATGTTTTAATTAACCGGCGCTAAAATGCACATGGTCTGCGTGAAGGAAACTGATTTTTAAAAATACCTTTTTATTAGCGGAACGGGCCACTTAAAATAGTTTTTTTATGTTCGATCTTTTGAGCCAAGAATGGATACAAGACAATGTTAGCTCAAAACTTTCTCAGACACTCGCGTTAGCACGCGTGTGGTCGGCTACCTCCACCTTTCCCATGCGAATTATCCGTCGACGCATTCCGAGGTGTCCTTTTGTACTAACTGATGCGAAGTTGAGAAATCGATTTCAAGAAACGCGACTGGCGATTATGCTTCAAAACGACTGGGAATCAGTAAACGTTTTGGTACTACAGTAGCCTGTATATTCATCTACTAACTTGCAAGAGAAAGTAGGCTTCTACAGAACGATTATATGGCATGCTACATGTTTGATAGTAAATGGATGATGCATAATACTTGAGTAGCGCTTCTATGCCGAGGGCGATCGAAAATGGAGTCTAGAAAATCTCTAATGTCATGGAGGCCCCACTCAAACAATGCGTCCCGTTCGAATGAGTAAAGTTCATGCGAGTTATTAGGCAAGTTATACCAGAGACCGTTTCAGAGGCCAAGCTGATGACCTTCCGCCAAGCACGTTTGTTAGGCATGGTGGTCCTGTAACAAAGGTCGGACAGTAATTCGCGTTTATGTCGAGGTTACCTTGGGTCAAGGCCGTGCAGACCTCTCTTTGTTCGGCGCTAGAGCTGTTTAATGAACGCCAGCGCACAAAAGAGACCTCTTTGTTGACGGCGCCACGGCGTCTCCAGAGCTCGCTTGACGTTGGAAATAAAATTAATGCAAGCATTCGGCTTTAATTTTGGTCTGTGTTTGTTACAGTTTATTCTGAAAAAGCATTCCCGGAGACTCTTTTTGGTGCGTTTCTTAGGCGATTAAAGTACTCCAAATTAAATATGTACTTATTTCCTGTCCCAACTCGTGTATTTGGCGGTAGGACATTTCCGATAAGGATAAGAGAGACTGGGATGACCATTTCTAACCCATTAGGCGTCATCATCCAGTCTTACCCAAGCCCAGGGTTGCGGGACCCGACCTCGATCTTGAGTTGCTTAGTCATTGAGCTCAGTAAGTCTAAAACTCTACCAACTGAACCACGTGCTCCTTTTCCTGTCGGTCGCTATCGCGTATTGGCGCATATTTTCGCCTTTCCCCGTATGATTGGCCGCGTCATGATTTTGTCTTGAAGGTCCGAATATGTGGTGTCCACCAAAAAAACTGCACCTTGTGACAATCATTCTACACGGAGAAATCAACCTGTTGAGCGCAAACACGGCTGCTACAGGTCGACCGATTTTCGTGCTTCTACTCAACCATCAGTAATGACTACCGAAGTTATAAACAATCCCTCACCCCATCGAGCTTTGCTGCTAATCTATTGGGCGAGACCCAGAATGTCAATACGTAATGCATGAATTGATTTATTGATCCGACCCCTTCAGAACTTTAGTACAAACACCGCGACTTCGCCATATAGCGCCCCGATCACCTACTGCTAGGGCTGGTCGAGGATATCCCATCCTAATTTCCTCTTCCTTTTCGCTCTGCGCCAAAATGTGTGCATGGATTGGCAAACATGACTGGCGCCTCGACCGCCGCAGGGAACCATGTTCCTCGCGTGCCGCATGAAGTGTTCGTAGTGCAGCTGACTTGTCTGAGCATCAGTTTGTAGTGGGGCTGACTTGCGCAGCGCCTACCGCACTCTCTCCTGCCCTCTCACCTTTCCCCGGTAGCCAGGCATTGTCAAAGCGGCCAGATGCGTGCGCGAGCGCTATGGTCCACAAAACTAAGCGACCCCTCTACGTGTGCCACACACACGACCTGGTGTCCACAATATGCACCTGACTATTTTAAGGTTGAATCGCATCTAAATTCAGCGAGAGTGTCATGAAGGCCACACCAAGGGGCTCTTGTAGCCTAAAACTCACTCCTCAGCAGGAGCGAGTTATCCCGTCAGTTGCCAACTTTCCAAGCTACGACGTCCAGCCCGTCGGGTTTGATATATTGAGGAATGCCTTAATATGCCTCGCGAATGAGTCCCCTAGCGTCGATTTCATTCCCTCTATCTTCTCCCGCACACCTGTCGACTGTTCGAGCCTGTCAACCAGCTCTTGATGCAATTCGGCGCAGTGGCCGACGCGACATGAAGACCAGTGCCTAAGGTCTGCCAACACAGGCATGCATGGCCGTAGCTACAGGCTTGTGCGGAGTCAGCTCCGCTCGATAAACGCGTATCGTGAGGCAGTCTGACCGCCCTATTGTTCCAGAGCATTTACAGTGCAGCACCTTTTGGAGGCTAAGTAACGAAGAACCAGTCACGTTGTGACATGCGCAAGCTAAGTTCATGGCCATCTCCGACTGGCTTGATTTGGTCGTGTTACTGGCGGGTGTGGGAAGGGAAGGTGAGGTCCGTGTTGAGGAGGCTTATTCTATCATAGTCCACTTCCTGAGGTGATGGTGGTCATCATCGTTTTTTTCGGAAGCGACTTGTTTCAATTTGATGCACGTACTGTGGCTCACTGACCCCGCGAATGAAAGTCGAAACCCTGTGACAGCTCTGTGCCATATTATCGTTTATACCTAACTATTTTAGTTTCTCTATTTGCCAAGCATTTCCTTAACTCGCATTTATTTACTGTTTTTTAAGTTGGTGTTTATGTAACGGTTACGCGGACACTCCGACTGATCTGCGTTTCGATTTCACTAACTGACTTTTCACCCACTGCCTTTGCTCTTGACTGTGCGGCGTTGACAATTAAGGCATTCAGTATGTTATTACCGATAAAGACAAGGGAGACTGGAATGGTCATTAAGTCAGTTTTAACGTGGTTATACCGCTTGGCTTTTCTCAACTTGGTTTTTTGCGTGGGATCGCGTTATCGGTCGACAAGACCCGCTAAAGCCCTCTACGGCTGTGTCACCCTGGAAGATAGCCACTCTTCTGTTGCCGTGGAAAAGTCAGAAAATAAATTTCCAACGGTCGTTTCGCAAGGTAGTCTTTGAGATATAAAAGACTGCATGCACACAAAATTACTAAACAACTCAGTCCCTTGTTTCGCCACTTTTCTGTCACCGCATGACGCTATTTTGGCCCATTACTGGGCCTCTCAGCGTGCTCTTCATTGTATTATAGCGCACGGTGCTTCATGTCTGCGTCTGGGACTTGTCATATCCCCTCTTCTCCTAAGATGTTCATGTGCCAAAATTTGCTGCTTTTGGAATAGTCACGGTTCCACTCGGGAAGCCCCACTTTATCCTTTAGGTCCACTCCAGGACAGTAGCAGTGGTTCGCCCAGCAACAAATAATAAATAATTCACTTTGACCCAACTGTAAAAAACTCGGTGCCGAATTCTTCACAGATGGGTCAAAGTGGATTATTTGAAATCTGCCATAACACCTTAAAAATAATAAATAATTAAGGTGAATTACGGACAAAATAAATTGCTAGCATGATCATTTTGGACCTCCCCGCTACTGTCGACCAGCTTTACCCGAATGCTGGTTCGAGAAACCCCGGGTTCGTGGCTGAGCAGAGCTGGCGTCATAAGGCTTCTTGCTTGCCAGAAGGAGCTTTAGGCGCGGCAGAATAAACGACTTAGAACAACTCAGAAGTCACTGAGATGGCAGGGCGAAGCCCTACATGATTGTGCACCAACGAAGTTGATCTCATTGGTAGCAAGTGTTCATTTTGACTGAATGTCATATCCCCTCGCAGTCAGCCGTCTCCCTGGTCCTCAGGTACACCCTCGTCATTCTACTCTTCCTCCAGCGCTCTCGAACTCGCGAAGCAAAAGCGCAGGCCCAGCTGGCAGAACTGAGTCTTGTTCGTAGTGGTCTGCTGGCCAGCGCCGCCTGCGATGCTTCGCAGGCTCGTGTACAGAACACGGATCATCTGCAGCGCATCCTCGACGTGAGTCCCGCTGTTGTCCAGACCTTCCGCATGCCGAAATAAATCGAGTTTTTCCTCCTATTTTGTTTGACTCCGTCTATCAACGGGAATGAGGGCTAACTATAACGAATACAAATCCCCATGGCAGTTTGTATATCATCAATTCACATTCTGGTATTTTAAAACAGTGATGTGCAGCACAGCAGCTCTCGCCTCCTTGGTAGAAGGAGGACGGAGGAGATGGGAGGCCGGAATATCACCGAGAGTTTCTCACTCCAGCAGGTTTTTGTTGCGCAATTACCCTCTTGTCCGTCTTTGTTTAACTCTCCGCCACATACTCACTTGTACTTCCCTGCGATCAAGGCGATATACGGGTTCTTCTCGAACAAAAGAAACTGCGCCGCTTCTCAGCTCGGATAAATTAACGCTTTTCATAGAGAAATCGCAGATTCTGAAGCGTCGGGTCGAACACTTCAGAAGCGTCCTCAACCGTCCTCCCCCACAATCTCCGACGCAACCATCGTCTGTCTCCCTCAAGTGGAAACCAACCCCCACCTGGATCTCTAGCCCTTTCCCTCTCTCAAAAACCGTCCACCCGTTCAACAAATCTCCAGCGGGAAGGCGTTCAGCTCCGATGAGATCCCATCTGGTATCTATAAGCACAGTGGCCATTGCCTGATGGACCAACTGACAGCGCTAATGCAGGAGATGTGGCGCTGCGGGCTGGTTTCTGAGGGTTTTAAGGGCGCGACCGTCGTAAAAGTGCAAAGGGGACCGGAAACACTAGGACAATCGCAGGGGATTCTCGCTACTCAACACCACCGGGAAGATCTTCGTCCGCATCCTCCCCAACTGTCTCAACGGCCACCTAGAGTAAGGACTCCTGCCGAAAAGCCGATGCGGCTTTCGGCGTCACAGGGGCACCACCGATATGATCTCTGCCGTCTGCCAGCTTCAAGTGAAGTACTAAGAGATGTACTCACCTCTACATAATCTTCGTGATTCTGACAAAAGCTTTCAGCACGGTGCTGTGTGAAACACTGTGGAGTATCATGCAGAAGTTGGGTTGTCCCGGACGATTCACTCGCAGCTCCACGATGGGATGATGGCGCGAATCACGGACAATGACGCAATCTCCGAGGCATTCGCAGTGACCAGTGGAGTGAAGCAAGGCTACCTACTCGCGCCCACCCTCTTCAGCCTCATGTTTTCTGCCAAACTGACGGACGCCAGCCATTATGAGCGTTATGGGATACGCATCGCCTACAAAACTGACAGGCATCTTTTCAACAACAGGCGCATGCAGGTTCTAACGCGACCATCTACGACCCCGGTCAACGATATACTCTTTGCTGACGACTGCGCGCCCAACACAACAACCGTAGAAGACATGCAACGGGACATGAATCTCTTTGCCTCTGGCTGCCCTCGCTTTGGGCTGACCATCAGTGTAGACAAGCCAGTGATCACGCATTAACAGCCGTCTACTTCTGAGTACAGTGTGTCTCGCATCCGCGTCAACGTTGCTCAAATAAAGGCTGGGGATAGCTTCAACTAACAAGGCATCACAATGCCTCGCTGCATCAGAATCTACGACGTAGTAAGTCATCGGATCGCCGACTCCAACCAAGCCTTCAGCCGACTGGAGAACTCCATGTCGAATTGTTACGGTCTCCGACTGAATACCAAACAGAAGATATACAAGGTCGTCTTCCTGACGACACTTCTCCCTCGAGCGTAGAGCTCGATCTTGTACTCCATCATGCCAAGAAGCATAGCCAATTCCATTTCAGCTGCCTGCGTAGAATACTAAAATTGAGAAAGCAAGACAGCATCTCCGACACGGAAGTTCTAAAACGGACCAGAATCCCCAGCATCCACGCTATGCTGAGACCACTACAACTACGTTGGAGCGGGCGTTTCCTGAGGAGGGAAGATACACGTCTACCGAAACAGCTCTTCTATGAAGATGACACCACCGGTGCTCACCGACCGGGAGGACCAAAATGACGCCAAAAGGACACGAAGAAGAATTCTCTTAGACGAGTGCATAGCAATCGAGAGAGCTGGGAATCACTCACCCAGGACAGACCGGCCTGGAGAAGAGAAGACCAGCGATGCCATCTACGAATCATGCGGGATCGCCTCCGCCAAAACCAAAAAGGGGCTCGAAAATCACAAATGCCTCGCTCCTCCAATGCAAACCATCCGTCGCCTTCAACATGCCCACGCTGACAACGCCTATTCCGCGCACGAATGGGCCTCGTTGGACACCTTCGGACCCACTACGCCCTAAACTCAACAGCGTTCACCTCATCTCACTCTCGCCCCTGCCGCAAACCCCACGCTGACTGCCACCCCTGCCACCGCTGATCACACTGTCGCTGCCTCACCGCCATCATCCATCGACACCATCCGCACTGCGTGGACCGCAGCGACCAGCATCAACATTACCATGACTCCACTCACTCCCCGCCCCCACGTTGGGACAACGTCTGATGTCCCAGCAACCTCTGCCATCATTGTCAACACTTCCACATTTAGCGATGTGGGCTCGTTTCATGCCTGTCCCCATTGCGATCTCACAATCACCTCACACATCGGCCTGGTCGGTCACTTACGAGTCCGTTGCACGGAGACTGGCGAACCAGTGCCATGAGCACCAATATACACTCACCGCACCCGCCCCAACTGCCCTCATTGCCCCCGTACATTCACTCATCGCATGGGTCTATTAGGTCACATGCGCATTCACGAAAACCTGTGGTGGCCAACCGCCGGCCACATCACACATTCCCCGCCACTCCCTGCAAGCCCTTGACTGCCACATCCCACGCAACGGGAAGTGTGCGCCTCAGCTCCGCCTCCATGCAGCTCCTACGCTGCATGTGCGATCTGAGACTGAGACTATCATGGTGCCTCAGCACCATGGCTTGGATGGCTGCCAAATGATGTCTCGACCCATTTCAAGCAGTCTGCCCAGTTGTGTGTGCTGGTGTGGAGTGGCGGACTGGTGGGCTAAGAGTCAGGCTGCCACGGCCCCTCTCAAGCCATCTGTGACACGCTCATGCACTTCCAATCTCCCGCTTCAATCTTCATGCCCCTATCTCCCACCTATCCTCTCTTCCACCCACTTCGCCCCCTCCCCCTTCCTTTACGCCCCATATCTCTATCCTTTGTTATATTTCCTCCTGATCCGTCACGACTTCCTTTCCTTTGCCTTAGTCTGTTCTTCTTTAATGAATTCGTTCTCTACGCGGTCGACCTGAGCCAGCCGAGATGGCAGGCCTTCTCCAGTTGTATCGGACAGGTCCTCCGTGCAACCAGTCACGACGAAACGGGACCCCGGCCGTGGCAGCCTGCTCTGTTGCGAGTGGGGAATAAGCGTGATCTCGGGTAGGTGCCGGCGTCATCACTTTCTTTTAATAACGTATGTGGAGTGCGGTGCCATTCTGCTGCACGATATGCAGCTGGAATTATGTTGACGAAATGCGGTCTGCCGCTGGCTTTGTAGCGCTCCGATACGGCCGATGTTATCTTTTCTCCTCTCTCCGCCTGCCAGCGTGTCTAGGTGCCCTTTTGCCATTGTTTTCTCCACAAACGGTAGTTTTCGTATGCAAAACACCGTCTAACACCCGCCCATTTCCTGATAATTTGTTTTCTCGCGTATAACCATGGAGAGTCCTTTGTTTCTTCGGTGAAAAAAACAACTTCCTTGCAGAACCGTCCGTACACACACTCACATTTAAAGTATGCCTTCACAGCGTAAGGGCAAAGACAAATTATCCAGTATGCTAACTTTGGGATATTTACTGACAGGTAAATGCATCAAAAAATTTGTTACATACCCTGGATAGTCTGCATTGTTTTTGGGCTGTGGAAATTATAGAGCAGACCCTTTCCGTCTGAGTGATATTTGCCTTTAACTAGGCTTGGATTTCTTCCGGTGAACAGAGGTATGGTCCAAAGCTGGAGAGTGGGGTTATCGTTTCTCCTGCGCAAACCTTATCGTGCAATTTGGCCTATTAAATACCATACCCCGCAGTTTGACGTCGTCGTCGACACTGTCAACAGTCTGTCCCGCATCAAGGCGGTGGACGACTTGTGTTGCATCTACCGCACTCTCGCCTTCCTCGGCCACCTGAGCCCGGTGTCAAGACGGAGTGCGGAAGACCAGAGGCAGGATCGGATCCAGTACCTGGCAGAGTTAAAAAGCCAGTCTGCGCGTGCCACACACGTCTGATTCGCACACGGTGGACCAGTCTTTCATACAAATAACTAAGGTGGTGGTGGGGGGACTCGGATCTCGACAAACCGTAAGGGCAATAAAGGCCTCATTAAGAAGGAACTACTGCAGCCTGACTATCCGTCCTCCAAAGAGGTCCGACTTATCCCGGTCAGCTGACGGCAGCCTTCTGACACGGGGTAGTTTGAAAGCGCGTCAGACTGACTATAGGTGCTGAGTGTCGTGGAGAGGCTGTCCACAGAGTCGACCTCACTCTCTCTTTCCTCCTCCAGGCACCAGTCCGAGTCGGTCAGCCATTTGATGAAGCAATTGGGCACAGGTGGCTGGCGTGCCCTGAGTCACACCTCCGCGTGTGTGTGGCATCTGTTATGGGTGCGTCTCCTGAATAAAACATGATCTGGCCCTCTTGGTGGTCCAGTTCATCCACCGCCTGGCCTGCTCTAGAGGCGCTGGCTAACATCTTCTCATGCCTTGTCGTCAAAGTCTATGGACCACCAAAAGTTCACAAACTCAACGTACCATTGCGACCGGTAGTATGACTAATCGATGCACAGAATTACAAGATATATAAATGGCTATTCTAGAGTTGCGAAAATTCCCATGGCTGTAATCAGAAGACGAGGTGGCGAGCATACGTAGCTTCCGATAAGTTCTCGTCGGGTCAGTACAGTTATATAGGAACGAGGTAGAAGTAAAACATGTCAGCAATAAGAGAAATCGATAACAGTTCCCCTTGAAACACTGGCGGGGTGTAAGAATTTGGGGGAGGGGGGGAGGTTAATAACAGTCACTGTCAGGGGCGGGGCGAGAGCGGAAGTGCGCGGGGAGAGTTGCACCGTTAGTCGACCTTCGACCACTGTAAGCGCGGAGCTTGAACGTGGTTCTTCAGTGCGCACAAGATTGGTTTTCGCAACCTGATGGCGGTCGCCTCTGCTGTCGCTAACAGGCGCTGGCCTAGTACCTTAGGGTAGCTCGATGGGACCTTATAAATTACACAAAAAGCTTCGTTGGGGTCCACACGATGTCCGGAATCGACAACATGCGCGAGAATGGCGCTGCTTATGCTCCTAGTTTCGCCCTTTCCCAGCCATGCCGGGAGGTGTTCCCGTGTTCTCTTGGATAAACGCCGACTCGGGCGACCAATATGACCTGCTCCATAGGAGCAAGTGAAGGAATATATGCACATTGAGGTGGTCTGCGGTGGCAACTTATCCTTACCTTCTTCGCGTAAAATAGGGTTTATAGTGAATGATATTTGAACCCATGCTGTTGGAAAGGTTCGCGAGACAGCTTGATCAAGGCGTCTCCTTAGGAGTTCACTCGCCGCGTCCCCTTGGAAAGGGACTTTTAGGAACAAAGTTTACCGTTCGGCGCTCCATAAATTCCGTCCATTAACAAAGGTTTCTGAAACTTCAGCTGAAAATTCTATTGAATTTTGGACAAACTACGAGGACTCACAATTGATGCAGATGAGGTAATGGTATCCTCCGATTTTTGTCTCTCTGTTTACATCCATACCACTCGAGTTAACGAGGCAATGCACAGAAGTACTCCTACGATCATACGACATTGATTTTCCTACATCTGCTTTGTTTGAACACTTGGATTTATGTCTGGAAACAAACTTTTCGTTCACACCTGAATATTATCGACAGCTGAAAGTAGCTCCTATGGCGTCATCTATTTCTGGCTTTCTGGTTGAGGTTACGACGCAAAAACTAGAGGCTATGGCCCTACCATAATCTAATCTCAAATTATGGATGCGCTATAAAGATGACACCTTAGTCATCGTCAAGAGAGATTAACTGGAAACGCTGCACAGCGTTATCAACTCAACACTGTCAGGAATCACCTTCACACTCGAAAAAGGAATTGACTGCAGACTCCAACCTCTTGATGTTCTGGTACAGTGAAACGTTGAAGGGACATTCTACACATCAGTGTACCGTAAAGAAGTTTACGAAGATGTTATCCTACATTACGAGATCAACCAACCTATCGCTCACACAAGGGAGTGCTGTTAACACCCTACTCAATCGAGCAAAGGCACAAAGCTCTGAGAGCGAAGGAAACAAAATAGAACTTAATTATTTGTTCAGCCTATTTTCCAAAAACGGCTACCCTACAGAGTTTGTAAGCCGATGCATGAGACAACAGGAATCAAAAGAAAAGAGTAAGAAACTAGATTGTTCGGATCAGGCGTCTGAACCAAAAAATTAGCGAACACTTTCCTACGTCAGAAAAGTGTCCGAACTCGTTGAAAGACACTCGGGGAAACACTAAATACAAATGACGCACAAACCGATGACTACATTTCGCAGCCAGGCCTGTACACCCTAAGGATAGGGTTGACTATTTGGATAAAAAGAAGTTATCTATAAGATTCCATCTGGCACCTGCAATGCAGTATGTTACAGTCAGGCTGAAAATCCACCTCTGCACGCTTACTCGAATACCAGTTGACAGTAGGGGAGCGAAACCACTTAACCCAATTTGCCAAGCATACGCTAGAAACTGGGCACAAATTTGCTTGTGATGAATCGGGCATTGTCGGTTTCAAGCCATACAAGGAAGGCCAAGAATTTCTATGGGCCACACATTCCGACGACTCGTGTATCAAATGGAACATCGAATTAGATACCGTGTACAGCAATCTAAAGGATAAGTGGACGAGGCTATTGTCAGTCATAACTGGATGCCACCAAATACACGTGGCGAACAAACCGACGACTGCACTTTGTAACTAGCATGTACGCCCTAAGGATAGGATTGGCTATTTAGATGGTAAGGAAGTTGTCTGTAAGATACCATGCGACACCTGCAATGCGTTTTACTGTAGCCATCCGGGAAATATACCTCCACACACATACACGAACATCAGTGGGTGGTAAAAAGGCGAGACCACTCGCCCCAGGTTTCCATGCACTATATGTGCCCGCTCATTTAAGAAAAGCCGCGAATTTTAGAGATCATTTATTTTGATAACTCATGCATCAATCGACACATAGAATTAGACGCTGTGCATAACAATCTCAAATAAAAGTTGAAAACGCGTTAGCCAATCGAAACTTGATGCCAATTCATAGAAAGGGCTGAATGGCAGCAGTGACGGAGCAATTTCAGTTTCTAGGATTTTAGTAGAAATGGATTCGCCATGAGGACAGCATGAGGACCATGCTCGAGGTGGCGGCCGAGACGTAGTACTGACTCCGCAGACTGAAACAAACAAATAGGACTCACCGTCGCTAGGGCTGGGAGGGCTTGTTATTCGAACCCGAGGTTATCGTGTCTGGCTGACGCCCGAAAGAAGCCCTCCAGTCTCCCCCTTCTCTGAAACCGTCTGGGCGGGCTCTGGATCGGGGCCTCCCGCCGAGACGGAAGTAGCCGTATTTTTTCCCGTATTCTGGAATAAT